CACCACTCCAGCGTGATCAATAACTGATTGATCGGCTGATAGCAGGATTGCTTGTGCTGCCTGCTGATCTGTAGCTGATCGATCGGTGATGATGATCGATAACTGAAGTCATTGATCCCGGCAGCAGAACATCTTCACTTTACAGACGATCGATTATCGACAGTAATCAATCGATTAATAGGCTGCTGTTTGAAGTAAACACACTGTGGGTCATTATTGATCTGCTGTGAACCCTCAGCGTTCCCTGAAGGTTCCAGCAGCGTTGTTCCCACGTCGTGTCCGTTGTAGCGGTGAGAGCTCCGTCAGCCTGTTCGCTCTGTGGCCTTAACGAGCCGATACATAATCAATAGTTCAGCCTGAAGTGCAGACCAGACTGCGGCTCACATGTGACTCACAGTAAACTCAGGAGCTCAAACATGTGCAGATCTGATCCTGATCAATGACTCACTGATCGATCGATTAGGGAGTCGACGGACAGGTGATCTGAGCTGAAGTCATTAAACACAACGAGACACGCAGCACATGACGACCACGTCTACGTCATCACACCTTGTGCTCCCAAATTCGACACCTGAAGGTGGCGCTGCCTTCACTGGCCCCGGGAATTTATACCTCCATTCAGCCTGTTTAGACCTTGTGTTCACAAAGCTTGTTTGCTGTTTTCCCTGATGGCACCTGAATGCACCACGACAGCATGGACATAAACAGTGAGACGTGTCAAATTGAACAAACGTGATGATTTTATTTGGTGGATCACCTTCATGAAGCACCAGTTCGTCGGAGCAGCCAATCGGAGCAGCTGTGAGATCATCCAATAGCAGCAGGCCTCTCAGGAGAGTCTGGTGCCTGATGGGAAATGTAGGCTCCACTGTTGTTACTGTCGCACAAAGCGCTTTTTTTCTGAAAGCGTCTGACTTTCTGTCCACGCCTCCAGAAACAAGCTGCAGATTCTGATTCTTCTGACGGTTTCACAAAAATCCATCAGCTGCTGGGTCCGTAGAAGACCAGGAAACGGTGAACAAAGTGGATCAGAGTTTCCTCAAAGGTCTTGTCTTGTCCAAAGATCTTCAGGTTCCTGTCATAGAGGAGCAAGACCAGAACACATTCACACTGAAGTCTACAGCCGTACAACTTCATTTTATCCACACATCTGAGAGTGGACAGGACCGAAGCAGGCCGAGGTCTGGAGGAGCTGGAGAACCCTGTAGAACCCTGAAGAACCCTGTAGAACCCTAAAGACGCTGCAGCCACAGAGTCCACTGCTTCTGTTCGACTGCTGAACTCAGTTCACTGGAATAAAGAGATTCATTTATGGTTTCTGGCAAACAAACTGACCAAACCTTCTGGTTAAGTTGCTGTTTAACTAGTGTGGCAGTCTTTAACCTGGTTAGTGACCTGGTTAACGTCAGAATCTTTAACCTGGTTAGTGACCTGGTTAACGTCAGAATCTTTAACCTGGTTAGTGACCTGGTTAACGTCAGAATCTTTAACCTGGTTAGTGACCTGGTTAACGTCAGAATCTTTAACCTGGTTAGTGACCTGGTTAACGTCAGAATCTTTAACCTGGTTAGTGACCTGGTTAGGTTTAGAGTCTTTATGACTGAAACAGACCAACGTAAAATAATAAAACTGTGAAACCCAGAATTTCTTTTTCTGTAATGAAAATTGAAAATCTGACACAAACCATTTCCTATAATTTTACAAATATTGTTTTTTTTATTTCATAGACAGTCAGTTTAATTTTAATACTGTAAAACATTTTCTAAGTTGGACACATATGTAGTTTATACAGATTAGTTTGTAATTACAGAAGTTATCAAACAAACGTTGAATGAACGTTGTCATCAGTGTAGAGTCTCATTAGTAATCTATCAGAGTAACGAGGTGTCATCAGTCTGTGGAGTTCTGTACTTTGGGTTCTTTTATTGTTCTGACATGTAAACAACCTCCATCAGACAACACAGACACAGAAACACGGCAGACGTTCTATTTATGGACCATGACGGCTGTTATCGCTGTTATCTGGTCGCTGCAGCTGCTCCACTGTTTCTGTGTCGGCATGCTGTTTGTGCGGGTCGTGGATGTGGAGCGGTTCTGACGGGCTTCAGGCTCACGCTGCTGTATGGAGCTTTAAATGACTGAATGATGTTTGTTGGATGTTAAAGATGAATGTGGAGACTTTCAAAGCCTCCAAACTGTGGGCAGAACCGTGCAGAAGATAATGAGAGGCTGACTGAAGCTCTGCTGTTATCTGGACGCTGCAGAGATGTTGAAAGAACGTTCAGTTCAACTGCAGTTGGAGCAGAAGCTGCCGATCAGGCTGATAGAGGACACTGAGCTAACGGAGCTGTTAGCTTAATGCTAAGCTAACACGGACTAGGGGAGGCTGAGCTACCAGTAGCTGTGGCTCAGCTAACAGAACAGCCCGCTGTGTGGACGCTGCAGTGCTGCTGGAGGCTGAGATGAGTCATTCTGCTGCTGCGTCGCCGTGACAACGGAGGGGGTTGGAGCGACTGCAGGAATCTTCCAGATCAGGTCGACGCTGCTCTCGTCCTGCACAGAAACGACCCGAGCAGCGGAGGGAGCGCCCCCTACAGGCTGCAGGGCCTCTGGGGCGCTTTAAAACACTCTGGAACTGAATGGAGTTCTGTGCAGTGAAAACCACTCTGATCCTCAGACCCAGAACTTGGTCACATGTGAAGTCACACTCATGAAACACGTATGTTCAGACTCAGCGCCACGTCCACAAACTCAGGAGGTCATCATCTCTGACCTTCACCACAGTGAGCCTCCAGAAATCTGCTGCGAAACCAGACAGGTACACAGGTCCGAACTCCCATCACAGTCTGTCTGGTTTTACTTCAATTCAGTGTCACAGTCACCCAGTGACTCAGGCACCAGAACCGGCCGGAGGACTCGGGAACCAGAACCGGCAGAGCGTCTGTCTGAACCGAAGCACCAGATGCTCAGTTCAGTCTGAGCGTGTGTCTGACGGCGGCGGCGAGGACTCGTCCTGCAGTCAGCCTTCGTCTTCATCACCACTTTGTTCTCCAGCTCCGTGTGATGTAACTGTGACATCATCAGTCGGAGCGCTCAGGCCGCCGGCGAGCCGTAAAAACTGGGTCAGCAGGAGCTGCAGCCGGGTTACCGTGGCAACAGGATCAGTAGGTCACACAGGGAGGAAGCTGTCAGAGAGCAGGGCATGCTGGGAAACGTATTCCTCCTCTATCCTCTGAGCAGCTCCTGTCTCCTGCTCCTTCACTGAGGTCCATGTTTCAGCATAAAGTCCTGCAGCTCTGAGGAACCAGAACCTGAAGGAGGAGACAGAACTCCTCTTCTGTCAGCAGAACCATGCAGCCCAGAGAGAAGGACGCCTCTCTGATTGATGAAGTGAAATGTGATCTGAAGCTCAGATTTGGTTCCGTTTTCCTGCAGCGATTATCAGTGAATGATCTGCAGCTGGTGTTTTAATCAGCGCGAGTAGTTTTAATAAACTCTCTGATTTCAGCTTCTTCAGTGAATGTTTCTGGTTTCTTTCCTCTCTGACACTAAACTAAACATCTCTGGACCAAACAAGACGTTTGAGGAACCTCTGATCCTCGTGTGAGATCAATCAGCTGATCGATTGATCCAGAAACAACAGACTCAACTCTGAAAAGCGTCTTTAGTTCTGATTAAAAACCTTGTGGATGCTGATAGTTCATTATCTAACGGGTGTCTCTCTTCTGTCAGGTTCTCTGCGAGGATGCGGCAGTGAGCATGCTCAGAGTGCTGATCGTTACCATGGCGATATTCGGTGGCGGCGGCCAGGCGTGCAGCGGTCAGGACAACTGCTCGGCCAACAGCGAGTCCAGAGACTACTGCTACTCAGCTCGCATCCGCAGCACCGTGCTGCAGGGGCTGGTCTTCGGCGGCGTGCCCACCGTGCTCGCCCTCGACTTCATGTGCTTCCTGGTGAGTTGCCACCGGTGCCGGCGCCATGACACCCGGCGCACACGTACACAACCTGCTGAGGGCCAATAAATACATATATACACTCTGTTACAGTAAAAGTACCAACACGTGTGTTTGGGGGCGGAGTCAACTGTTTGTGCTCGTATCACGTGCACGCTCCTGGTTTGAGTGCACGAGGTTTAACATAAAGTTCATCATCGTCAACTCATTATCATAAAATACTCTGTTGGTCCTGAACGGCTGAACAGCTCGTTAGTTAGTTAGCTAGCTAGTTAACTAGTTAGTAGGACACTGCTGCTGTGATGTTCACTGACTGTTGGAAAACTCAGTACTGCAGCTGGACTCAGCTCTAATGTCACCTGCTGCTGATCCAGGTAGACTCACCTGCAGCTCCTCCTCCTCCTCCTCCAGGTGCTGCTCTTCGTCTTCTCCATTCTGAGGAAGGTCGCGTGGGATTATGGCCGCCTGGCGCTGGTCACCGACGCCGACAGGTAACCCACCAATCAGGAGACTCGTGAAAGTCTTAAGCTCCTTTGTGTGTTCTGGTCTCGCTGCTGAGGCCAGAACCAGAACCAGAACCAGGTCGTTCTCTGCAGAACGTCCACAAATAAAGAGCTGAAACCAGAAAGACGAAGTCAACAAACTGAAAAAGACGATGGAAGGGCAGAAATGAAAGTGAAGCGACTCACGTGTTAGTAAAGACAACAACAACAACAACAACAACAACAACAACAACGATGATAATAATAATAATAAGGGCTGCAGGTGGATCAGTGGTTAGCACCGTTAGCGCCTCACAGCTAGAAGGTCGCCGGTTGGCGTCCCGGTGAGGACACCCGGGATCTTCCTGCGTGGAGTCTCCATGTTCTCCCCGTGCAGCGTGGGTTCTCTCCGGGTTCTCCGGCTTCCTCCCACAGTCCAGAAACATGTTGAGGTTAATTGGTGATTGTAAATTGTCCGTAGGTGTGAATGTGAGTGTGCTTGGTTGTCTGTCTCTAAGTGTAGCCCTGTGATAGACTGGTTACCTGTCCAGGTGAACCTGCCTTCACCCTCAGTCAGCTGGGATAGGCTCCGCCCCCCATGACCCTGGTGAGGATGAAGGTGTAGAGATGATGGATGATGACAATAATGATGATGATGATGATTAGACGTCCAGCGGTCGGCAGCGATCACAGGAGGTGACAGAAGAAAACACAGACGACCCAGAAAGGTTCTGCTGGTCTGTTGTCGGTTCATTTAAACACAAATGTGTCGAGCTGAAGCAGCGACGCAGCAGAAAACAGCCAAACAGTTTCCATGGCAACAAGATCAGAGTTCTTATTGGTTAGTTTACCTGGTTAACTTCACCAGCCAGCTTTATGCTGGAACACAGCGCAGCTAACGAACCGATCGGGTACCTTTAATGAAACGGGCTGAACTCTGGTTTCAGCTCCTTAAATGTGAGCGTTTCTGGTTCCTTTGCTCTGTGACGGTGAACTGAACATCTCTGGTCTGAACACCACGTCTGAGGAGACTCTGCGCCATGTGTCAGATCAATCAGCTGATCGATCGATGCAGACGTTCATCCACAGTGACAATGTTCAGACGCCTCAGACTCACCGTTACCGGAGTCGCTGCATGTCAGACCTCAGAAACGTTGAGATGTTTGTTGAGGAGAAGAAAACGCTTCACTGGTTTGATCCCAGTTTCCATCGTCCTGTTTCCTCTTTACCGTGTGTGTGATGTTTCATGTCCAGGTCCAGGACAGAACCATGACCTCATCAGACCGGCTTCTACCCATACAATGGACTAACGGGCCTGCTTCCTTCTTTGCTTCCTCATTTGTTTCCTTGTTTGTTTCCTTGCTCTCTTGTTTGTTTCCTCATTTGTTTCCTTGTCCTCTTGTTTGTTTCCTTGTTTGTTTCCTTGCTCTCTTGTTTGTTGTGGTTCTTGATGGAGAACAGATGGACTTTAGAACCCAGACTGAAAACACACGACACTAAACAAACACTGTCACGGTTCCGGTCCGGTCCGGTCCGGCTCCGATGCAGACTCCGGCTCCCGTCCTGGAGAACCGGCTTCGGTTTTTGCTGTCGAAGCTGCAGCCGTGTTTGATGAGACGAGGACTAACCTCTTGTTGTTCTTTGGTTTGTGTCCTGAAGGCTGAAGAAGCGCTTCGGCGAGCGGGACGAGCGGGAATAGTACGTAGGCTGTGTGGCTAACGTGTTCTGGTCCATTAACAGGCTCCGACCGGCGCACTAACCACAACACTTGTTCTTCTCCTGGTCGCTCGGTGTGGAGGGCGATCAGTGCCGGCGCCGGGCTCCAGCTGCTTCTCCTGAGCTGGGACATGAATAATGAGAACAACCAGAACTGAGCCCACAGAAGCTCCGACGGGCTTCAGGAGCTGTCAGGCTGAACTCTGCAGGAGGTTCTTCACAACCCCCATGATGGGTCACTGCAGCGCCTCCTAGTGGTCGAACTGCACCTTGGCCTGAGAGCTGGGCCCAGTTTGATTGAGATCTGATGAAACATTTTGGAGTTATAGCAGTTACATAGGCCACGCCCACAGCTGTTGGTTAGCCAATCAGTGGACAGAGTCAAACGTCAGTGTTTGTCAGATGTACGGTGGCGCCGTAGAGCTGACAAACGCTGACTTTGGGGAAACAAAGGCTCAGCGTTGCAGCTTTAATCGTGTTTGGGTTGAAAACTTCCCTGAACAGACATTATGAATGAAAAACCTGAGAATGACCCAAAGTCCCCGAAACTGACTCAGGAGTCCAGAGAAACTGCAGCTTCGCAGAAATCTGCACCAAAACTCACAAAGCACGTCCTCAGCAGTCTCCACAGTTTAGCTTTAAACATGTAATAAAATAATCCGTGAACAGCAGCAGCAACAGGGAGGCTGGCTTCAGGAACCACACGAAGGAGAAGCAGCTCAGCAGCAGGTGGCACTAATCGCCCTCCATACGCGTGAACGCAGCGTGGCTGATATGACTAACGCTAACGTCGCTCCGCACTTGTCTCCACTTTTAACTCAGCCAAAGACGAGACAGAGATAACTATGAGCCGGTGAAAAGGTAACAGGCTGTGGCCGTCGTAGCTCGGTGTGTCGTGACCCCTGTGATGTGTTAGCAGGTTGTTAGCATGTGAGCTAATCCACAGAAAACCCAAAGAACAGGACCGAACAGAGTCAGCAGCTAAACTGTGTTCCGATCCGAAATATCACCTGAACATTAAATTCTTCTAAACTCTGTCCTCTCACAGTAATCAGATTACCTGAAGATCAAGCCAAAGCAAACTTTATATAGACGACATTTAAAATTCCGCTTCAAAGTAGAACCTCAAAGAACCAAACTGAGTCCAGCTGTGGTTCCCATCAGTCTACCTGCATGAACATGGTTCTACAACAAGCTGAGACCAGCAGAACCTTCTCAGTTCTGGACCTCTGGACTGTGTCTATCTATGTCTGCATCATGGCTCCACATGGAGAAGACCTGAACAGAGGAGGAGAAACATCTGACTG